TGACCACTTGGTCCAATACAATTACAGTAAAAAATAATTTAATAAGTCACAGCCAGGTTGACTCCAATAGGAGAAATAAATATAATAAGTGACACAAATGCCGAAGGCAAAATAATTATACTAATAAAAATAAACTTATGCCTAAAATGGCTCTGGTAACAATAATAATAAAAATACAATATATCAATCTTGCCTCAAACAGCCTTATTTATAATAATATAATAATAGCAAATTATCAATAGTGCCTCAAGTGGCCTTTGTAAAAATAATATAATATTACTGAGGTAACTAAATTACTAATATTAAATATTGAGCTGCAGCTCACACAATTACAAGGTATAATTCACTTACGTGGCCACATAGCAATGTATCGACACAAGACCTCTAGCAAAACAAACGAACCCCTGCAATTCACAAATGCAGGACCAACAGCGCTAATTGTCAAAGTTGTCCCGTTGCTGGTAAAGTGACAACCCTAGGTTAACAATTGTTGTTGTTAATAGTTGCTGAACCAAAATTACCTGACAATAGGAACAAGAAAACCAGCGTTGATCACACCAAAAAACAATAAAAAATCCCTATACTCGAGGTTTTTGCATGCACGACAAAAAAAAGGAACTGCTACGTAACAACTAATAATGATTTACTGGGTATTACTATTACCCCTAAAGGCCTACAGGACTTATCCGAACGAATTTAAAAAAAAACATAACGGGAATAGCGAATATGGTCAATAATTATGTAATCGCCATCGCCGCTGTCGATAACAACGAAGTGCTGCCAACACTAGTGCAACGCAACAGCAATAGCAAGGTGTATTGATAAGGTGTCGTCACTCTATACCCCTATGCATACACACTTTTGATTGAAATTTTTACCACAGCTACTATAGACACCAGAGCGCGCTTCCTGTCATATGAAGGCCGTTTTTACATACTGTTAAATACGAAATGTTATTAAAACTGTAAGTATATTAATTAAAATGTTATTATTTTTGGATTTGCGTACCTATACTATAATTTATATTTATTGTGTTTAAGAAATGTCACGTTGTACTTAGATACAAGCAAGGGATACCTACCGGAGTACCGGACCCATATCTTACTCAGAGTTTGATATGAGCATGACAAATTAAATTAAACAAGTCAATGGGTAATTATTATTTATTCCATATCGATAATTATCGAATTTTTCTACTTGAAAATTTCATATATATAATTCTAGCCCTAATTTGATTAGTAATCTGATAGAGTTGAGTGGGTAATAAGTATTATTATTTTCTAGTATACATAATACATAAACAATTCTAAAAATGTTTTTACATTTTATTATAACTCAAACTAATTTTGAAATATTTTAAAGTTTTTTTTGTGTTCTCTTTTTTTCAGCAACTTGCTCGTTTTTTCTTTTGCAAGCAAATATCATCCTTGTTTTTACATAATATGTAATTATATACTTAGTTAATATTTGACTATGTATTGAGCAACCAACCTTTGTCAAAATTTTTTGTTTATTTATTTCTTCAATAACTACAAAATATGTTAGAAAAATAAGTAGTTTAAAATGTACCTATATGAAGTTTTTAAATTTAAATGCAATACCTATTACAAACATATCTTCTATTAATATGTGTTGTTTCATACATTTTTCATCAATAATTTTAGTAATTATTACTTCTAAATTAAATATAATTTCTTTTAAACTATTTGAAGGGATTAATAAAAATCATTTACTTCTTGATTTAATAAGATTATCCTCTGGATCCAAGTTTTGTTCATTGATATCTACATCATTAATCAATGATAAATAGCAGTTTTCACAATGTTTGGCAGTTGAAAATTTTTTGGCCTGTCTTGCAATATAACCAATGAAATATGTTAGAGCTGATATGTCAATACTTTCATTTGTAGAAGAATTTTGTTTTGTGTAAGAATGGTCTAAAAGTGCATCAAAATGTCCTTCATCTAACAAATCATCAATTTGTTGTTCTAGGTCAACTCTAGTTAATTGATCATTTTTTGATCCTATTGGTGACATTCTAATCAAAGAATTTAACATTTCACCACCACTTATGTTACTGCCTTTGGGTGGTTTTATAAGAGAATAACAAGAGAGCAAACGATAAATTTGTTTAAATTTCAAAGGATCCGGATGTTGATTAGCTCCACAACCTTGTCTTAAATTTCCAAATAGGTGCTTAAAAAAGTAAGTAAGAACAATGAATTTATATAACTAAGAAGTAACGAAAGTATTTTCTTAAAAATGAAATATTATAATATTACTTTATAGTTAGAACTTACCTCAAGAGCATCCTGATTTATTCGCCTTGTCATTAAATAAGAGTAACCTACTTTGTTACATAAATATTCAACAAGTTCTAATGCACCTTTTAGTGATACCAAAAGTCCGGGTTGTCTTTGAATTGTAAATTGGTTCTGTTTGTTTGTACACGTTTGCCAAGTTTTCGAAAAATCTATAAATTCCTCTTAAACCTAATCAAGTAAAATATATTATAACATATATCGTATTAATTATTGTAATACCAAGATAATGATAGATTTTTTTGTCTTTCTTTACTTTATTTGCAGATGAATTAGTATTACTTCCAAGTCCGTGCATTTCAGTTTTTGAAATTCATAATGTCCACCATCACATTAATTTTTCTTATAAATTGTATGGTTGAACTACAATGTATAAAATCTGGATGATCTCTGTTCATTAATTCTTCCATACAATCTGCCWAAGTACCACTAAAAATTGTAACATTCAATAGAGTCAAATTAAAAAAATGTAAAACAAAATAAAATTGTCCTCTATTTAAAATGTATGTTTTACAATACTTTTTATTTATAATATTTGATTAAATTATCTTATTTCTTTACATATTGTAGAATGAATAACTTACTGTGAAAGCCATTTTAACATTCATGGTTTGATAATTTTGARGATACAAATGGTCTTTTTTTAAATTTATAACACAATTTAATGTGTTTTTGTTCATCATATTTGACCAATGATTTCCAATGATCAAATTCAACTTTACCATAWGGAGTCTAAATTAAAAAATATATAGTAARTACCTTATTTGGTAATCATTTATATTTTTAGTATTAACATATTAATTATTTTTAGATTGTAAATATCATACCATGAGAGTTTTGCACTTCAACATTGTTTTCATTAAATGAGGAAAATCTGACGTGAACCACAATTTTCTAGTTGAATCAACAGGATGTTGACAACTAACATTACTCTCATTAATATCAAACAGTTTCCACATTGCTCTGTTCCAAGACCCGCCATCAGTAACAATATTATGAACTTGGAGTCCAGACTTTTCCAACAATAATATACTTTCTAGTATTAATTTTTGTAGGATATTACAGTTTGCAKCGCCTTTGGTTAAAAATGCTCCTATTGCTTGAATCCACGAACCTCTAAAAGGTTGATACATAATAACCAAAGCGTTATCCCCCATTTCATTTTGCTGGCTTTTTGGTGTAMATTTTCCTAAATCAACTAAACCATCAACTTCTAATGTGGATTTATTGAATGATACTGCTGGTGTTAAAGCCATTTCATCCAATAACAAACATCCTAACCAAAGTAATCATTTTAATTAAATAATTAAATAATTAAATATATATATTATATACCGGGTTTYTCAAAATTAGGGATATATTTATCTTTTTCTTTCATTTTAAAAACACTCTCTTGAAATCCATAAGAAGGCCGTAATTGCTGAATATACCTTTGTAAAGTTGACAAGGATGGTAATGGTAAAATGTTGTACCGTCTAATCTTTTTATATAAAGCTGGTCCTTTAATCTTCATGAGTATACATTCATATACCCAGTCATTAGAATATCTTATTCCTTTTTGGGATTTAACAGATGAAGCTTTAAAAATTGTTCTAACAGCTTCTTTTTGTTTAGGTGAAAGATCTTTCACAATTTCTTAAAAATTTTCAATTTCCAAAGTTTTACATTTGTTCATTAAATTATTTATATCAGTTTTCAAAGTTTTTATCTGTATGTACATAATTTAAAATATATATGAAGGGTACAAAAATGCTTTTAAATAATACATTGTGATTAGTTTAATACCTTATTAAAAGGACGTCAAGTTTGTTAGCTTCTTTTTTACATAGTATTCATTATTTTGAAGCATACACGATGTCTTTGTTTTTTTTTATCATTATACTCGTACTGAAATTGACGACAACATTTACATTTTATACTTTTTCCTTCCAAAGTTATTTCAAACCTTTTTTTTTATTGATTGTATATAATTTATAAATATTTTGAGCTGTAAATAACAAATTGCATTATTAAAACTTTTTTTTTTCATTATTAAAACTAATATTATTAATTATAATATTAAGTAATATACCTACCTATTATATATATTTTATTATTATTATTATATTTATATTTATTAATATTATTAATTATTATTAATAATTATCATTTTAGTGCTGAATTTGATTTTGGTAACATGGAAAATAATCACATTAAACAATTAACAATGCTTGAAAATATGATTGGTGAAGATAATAATGCCAACTTAAGTGAAAATWTTGTTATAGAAAATAATAATGAATAATGATAATTCAGATGATTTGATGAATATAGCAAGTTTTTTTAATATTTCAATTAAAATTGGTTGCATGTTTATATTATACTAATATTAATATTGTACTATTATTTCTCACTGTTTACAGGATTTAAATAACTGTTCAATGTCAATATCAGGTTTAGAAGGGTATGAATATCCAGTACAGGGGTCTCCAACCTACGGCCCGAGAGCCGGTTCCGGTCCGCCAAGCTAATTAATGTTTTGAAAATAATATATTATTTTTAATTGTTTTTAATTTATTTTTTATTGAATTGATTAATAAAATAAAATGAATTTACAATATTTTCTTTTGGTTAAGTATTATTCATAACAACTTATAATTTCTACACATTTTAACACATTTCTAAAAATGTTGGCCCGCGATGCCAAAGCGTATATCAAATTTGGTCCGCCGTAAAAAAAGGTTGGAGACCCCTGATCCAGTAGATCAAATACAGCCATTATTTGATTTGCTGAAAAAATGGGATTTGGAGTGTCTATCTAAAACCTTGATTGGTAAGTAAACTTTTTTTTTTATATATACCATAACATTGGTCTTTTGTTTGTATTAACAAGAAATATTTTTCATTAAATAGATGAAATGGTTGATATTAGCAATCATGAAAAGGGACCTTGCTATTAAAATGTTAAAAACATATCCAACCGGTATAAAAGTTCTTTTTACTCACCAACTTGAAAATTGGCAGAAGTCTCTTGATCAGCAGGATGTTACTTGTTTTTCACAAACAACTGATCATAATGAAACAACAACTATTAAATCAACTTTAAAGTCCCATCAACATTTAAAATTATCTTCTACATCTGTACCTAACTTTTAATTTAGGAGAAATATTAAATGCATCTTCGACTGGAAAGATGATAATTGATTATTTTAAAATTAACAGCAGATTAAATAACAACATACGTGTGTTGTTAGTTGATTCAATTATCAGTTATGTGATAACTAAAAATATACCGATGTCTATAAATCTTGCTGACAGCATTGCGACTTATATTGTTGCTATGTTTCCTTCTGAAGTGAAAGTAAGTTTTTAAAGATTGGTACCAAAGGTATAAAAGCAGGAATTAAATTGTATAATATTTTTTTTTAGGATACATATTTTATGAAAGATGGACATAACAAAAATCCCAAAGGGAAAATTTACGCCAAATATTATAATTCAATGAGAACGCTTAAAACAAGTGGACTGGTACCTAGTAAGGAACGAGTAAAATCTGCAGTCGAACGACATACACATACTCAACGTCGACATGATAAAGAATTTGGTAAAATATCATTTAAATTGCCATTTCTTCTGTTTTAAATGTTGTCTTTTAATTTGTAAATTATCGTAAAATACTGAATGTAATTAATTATTATATTTTATGTACTTTAATGTTATATGAACTATGATGTTTTATAGAACCTGAAGACGACATTCATTATATGATTGATCAAATACAGAATGATACTAATTGTTCATTCCCAGAGCTTGAAAAATTATGGAAAGGTACAACAAAATATCGTATAAACAGTATACAGAATTCTTCTTCTACTACATAAATTATGAACAAATAGAAAAACTATGCCTTACCACTTGGCTACAGATTAGTAAGTTTTTATCACAATAATAGTATGAATACCATATACTAGGATACTTTGTCCCAAATTTCTTGTTTTCATAACCTAAAACATATAAAAGTATTTCACTTTGGTTAAAAATACTTTTAAAAAATATTTAAATACAAGTATCCAAATACTTTACAAGACTAGGCACTAGGAAGTTATAAACCTCTCAATATTCTTTTTTACGATCATTAGTAAATTTAAATATCCTCATTTTACAGTATAGAATAATTAATTATTTTTTCAGATTGATCTTGACTTTAATATTCTGTATCCAAAATGTTCAAATTCTGTTTCTYAGTTTGAGGAAAAATTAGAAAAAACTATGTTGTTGATGGATGAACATGTAAAAGATATAAATTGTCGTAAGATTTTTGAAAGTTTGAAGGAGTCTCATTCAACAATTTCTGAAAGTAATCAAATACATATAAAAACAAATTTTAATACATTTTAATAAAATATATTCATTTTTTGTAGATGAAAAATATACAATTATATTTGTAACGTCACAGAATTTTGACGCTTTTTATTAGAATATTAMATAATATCTTRTAATATGTCCACGTCCTTTTATTATATAACTCATAGTATTTCCATAATCTCTATTATTATGCATGCGCTCATTAAATATTATAATTACAAAAACACTGTTATGTAATACTAGTCCCCTGACCTCCCCTACATGCAGTGTCCATCGCATCGATGTCGCAGAGGGCGCTCCGCCGTTGCTGTCGGGCGTCGCGGTCGTAGCCGCTGGCGTATACGGACAGGGCAACCTGTTTCCCCACTAATGTATATTATACGAAAGTTCCCGACGCGACGCACTGACCAACCCCCTACCCAAGAACATCGA